CCCCAAAACCCCAAAACCCCAAAACCCCTAAGGTTAGAATTATTTTAGAAGTGGAATCTTAAACATATAAAAATTCTAATTCAAACATTTTTAATCATTTTAGTGATTTCATAATATATGCATATCTGTTAATCTCTGTCACTTTCTTTTTTAATTTATCAAATTTTGTTGTTATTATTGATGACTATGGGTGGAAAAATTACCTCCTAGCTAAAGCTTAGGGGCTTGCGATTTCTTTCTTTCATGAAAAAAACTGCTTCGCTTCTGTTCTTCTTTCATGTCTTGTATCTGAACTCCAGTTATGAGTTTTCTTTACTTGCTTATATTAGTGGATGTTGAGGACATATTATTATAAGTATTAATACTTTATGAAAGAGTTGAGCTGTCTTAACGATTAATTTGCATCTTATTGTTCTTAATAGAAATATTAACCTCATCATTTGGTATTAAGGATGAAATCTTGCCAGTTTCCTTCTTTACCAGAGTAGAATTTCTTTAATTTGGTCTTTTATTCATTAATTGATTAGTAATTTCAAAGTTTTAAGATTAATACTAGATAGCATTTTTTGATTAATTTAAGACTGAGGAATCTCCACTAATTGGCCCTAGTGTCTAATTTTTAGCCTATTAAGTTTAGAATTGAGCACCTATCATTGAGCTTTGTGAAGTTAGATTTTTGGGTTTGACATTATTATTTGTGAAAGATTTACGACCTGTATTATCATTAATACTTTCTCTCAAATGAGGAGAGGGATCTGCAGCAATCGGGAAAGGGTTTTATGAAAGATTATCAGAATTTTTCTTAGAATATTTTAACGAACTTGGGAGCTATTATTCATTTCTTATAGTTGGTTGATTAGTTGGCATTTATTTATTCAAAGGTTCTTTATAATTAAATATCTGATTATAGATATTATCTGAGAGGAGCTCAAAATTGGGGTTCGGTACACTATCAGCTGGATTGTATAAAAAGAGTGATTAATCCTAATGTTTCTTCTGGATTTTTTTCCTTTAGTTAATATCTATTAACTTCTTCTTTTTTACTAATATTTAACTTTATCCTGTTGATCTTACTTGAGCCTGCTGCTCTTCAGTTTTACTGGATTCATCTAAGTACTCATCATTATCATTTTAAATAAGGTCTACAAAAGTTTTATTTAGTGCACTGTGAGAAGTCCCAGGCAAATCTATTGTCTAGTCTTTTACAGATCCATATAAATCACTTGAATTTAGTCTTGAAGCAATAAGTTAACTTTAGTTTAGCTATGATTAATCTGAAACTATGATTCTTTGTTTGTTATTTGAATTCTAGCCAAGTTAAGGAAATATTTATTTTGTCTAAACAGTGTTATATAATTGCTACTAATTTTAGATGAAGGCATCAGTAGGATCGTTTAAAAAAATCAATTCCTTAGTACATATCTTTTTACCATTAAAAGACTATTGCTACTAAAGGATAGCAGCACTATATCTTTACTAATTTTATGGATTTAGTTGAGGCTTCTATAGTAGCTGCTTTTGATCAGCTGAATTATGAAATTGTACTTAGTTTTTTGAGTGATGTTCTGCCCTGAGTCATTTTTGTTCAGGTGATATCTGTGATCTAGCCTCTTAAAGACGCTTAATATTGTCCTTCAAATTTTTTTTGTTGTTTTTTGTTTCTCCATTTGTTTACTAGCCATTATTAAGAGATTCATTAAGTTTCTTATCCTCTTATTTCTCATTATTAGTCTGTGGCTTTTGTTGAATTACACTGAAAGTAGAGAAATTTTTGTTTTTACTACTTACTTGCACATCATGGTGTATATTAAGATACTCCTACTTGAAATGAGATTAAACAAACCTTGATGAAAAAACCATAAAATTATTTTCAAAAGGACTAACTGGGTTACATTGTTGATAATTTTCTCTTATTGGAGTAAGATTTCTTTTATAGACATGCATCATAGATTGATGATCCTATTTTTCATATTCAAACACTCTATAAATTGAAAAGAGTTTTTTCTTATTTTTAGATTTATAACTCTCCATTTTAGAGTTTATTTTTTGAATGTTTTCTTTGTACTTTAATGCTATTATTTTGAACTATGCTGAATTTAGGGTATTATTAGCTATGATTCTTCTTGGAGTTATCATTTGTGTTTGTTCGAGGGGATTTAATGAATTATTAGAATTGAACGAATCATCAGAAAATAAGGATGCATTAGAAACAGATGAGGTCATAATTAGCTTACCTTAAGTGTTATTACCATTTGGATTGCTCATTGATTTCTATAATTAATCTCTTTTTGAAATTCCTTTATTGAATATTTATTCTCCCAAAGCGTCAGGATCTCTTTAATTAGAGAAACTTGCCTGAGTTTATGACATAAAATCTGATTCTAAAATCTATTGTCGAAGCAAATCTGAATTCTTAGGTATATTGTCCATTATAGCTTTATTTTCGAATTAATATTTATACAATGCTATTTTATAAATTTTCTATTTTTTCTAGTATGGGGTTTTGGGGTTTTGGGGTTTTGGGGTTTTGGGGTTTTGGGGTTTT